CAGGCCCAGAGTTCAGGCCCCATGACCGGACCCAAAAAAAAAAAAAAAAGAGTCTAATGTGGGGCTGGGAAGGTGGCTCAGTGGTAGAGTGCTTGCCTTGCATGCGTGAGGCCCTGGGTTCAATTCCTCAGCACCACTTAAGCAGAAAAGGCCGCAAGTGGTGCTGTGGCTCAAGTGGTAGAGTGCTAGCTGAAGAGCTGAGGAACAGCACCCAGGCCCAGAGTTCAGGCCCCACGACTGACAAAAGAGAGAGAGAGAAGGGGGGGAGAGAGAGTCTAATGTTTAGGGAAACTTAAAATGAACAGCAAAATTGTGCATCAAATAGGAACTATCCCCACATGCCCAGAGTCCCCACACATGCATACCCTATCCCATTATCAACTTTCCCAACCAGGGAAGTGCATTCGTCAGAACTGCATCATTATCAGCCAGAGCCTATAGTTTACATTAGGATTTGCTTTTGGTGTGTATTCCATGGAGTTGGACAATTACATAAAGACATGAACCCACCATCAGAGTACCATGTAGAGTTGCACTGCCCCAACAATCCTAGCTGCTCTGTTGACTCAACTCTCCCCAAGGAAACCATGCTGGGAAGACCACCATCCTGTGCCAGTACTGGGGCTTGAACTCAGTGCTCTTGCATGGCTTTTTTACTCTGGGCTGGCACTCTACCACTTGAGCCACATCTCCATTGGAAGACCACCATTTATCAAGCACCTTCTAAAGGCTGTACCTGCTCCACATCTACTAATCTTGACAACAATCATACAGGAGGCAGCTTCCTCATCACAGTAACTAGAGGAAGTAGGGTTCTAGCCTGTTCCAATAGTCCCACTGCCTGGAAACACCTCTTGTTGCTATCCCTCTTGTAGAATAATCATTGATTATACTACAGTGACTATAATGAGGTCTCTTTCCTGTGATTATGTTAATAATCAGGTAAGCCACTTAACAGACAATAAATCAGTCAGGTGACAGTGGATCATGCCTATTATAATCCTTGTTACTCAGGAGGCTGAGATCTATGGATCAGTTTGAAACTAGCTCAAGAAGAAAAGTCCATGAGACTCCAATTAACCTCCAATTAACCACCAATTAATCTCCAATTAACCACCACCAAAACAGAAAAAGTCACTGAAGCTTGAAGGTAATTCCCAAATGACAGCCCCAGCTGACTCCTTGATTTCAACCTGACACCTTAAACAGAGAACTGAGTATGCTGTGGCTGCTTCTGACCTGGGATCTGTGAGATAATCAGTGAACATTACATTAAGCCACAATGTGTTTAATAGTTGTTAGGAAGTGGTAGGAAACCAAAACCCAAGGAGACTAAGCCTGGATATTGGCTTCTCCCAAAGTGAAAGGATCTCTCTACAGTCTGAACTGGTCCCTCTATACCTGTTAGGCCTTAATTTTATAATATGAATAATAATGTGCATGAAAGTCTTTCTAAGTTGTTCTAAAAGCTTCCTTGGCTTCCTGTAATACTATATTGAGCATTCCTTTTCCTTGATAACTTAATCAATACTAACACCCATGTCATAATAAATGCCCTAAGGTACCACATTTGTCCTCTAACTGCACTCAACTAGCACACTTACTGCTTCTTGGATCTGTTTTTGTATTGTTTTGTTTTCTTTGTGCCAGTCCTAGGACTTGAACTCAAGGCCTGGGCACTGTCCTTGAGCTTTTTTGCTCAAGGCTAGGACTCTGCCTTGAGTCACAGTTCCACTTCTGGCTTTTTGCTGGTTAATTGGAGATAAGAGTCTCACAGACTCCTATCTGGGCTAGCTTCTAACTTAAATCCTCAGACCTCCCTCCTGAGTAGCAAGAATTACAGGTGTGAGTCCAGTGTGGATCTGGTTTGAATGGTCGCCAGCCTCCTTGCTATTCAGACACTAACCAATACTTGTCACTGCTGTCAGCACAGGGAGCCTCTCTTTGTACTTCCCCTCTCCAAGGACTTATAAAGGACAGAACAGCTTGTGAGATAATTTTTCCCACACAGGGAAAATTAGGACCTGGATCACAGTGTGAAGAGCTTTTCTACCCATTAAGTAACATTGGATCTGTGTTGGGACTTGTGACATACATTGGGGTTGCTCAGAGGCCCTTTCAGTTTGCTTCCTAGTTCTCAAAACAGTGCTGATGTTTTATAGGTGCATTAGTTGGCATATTAATTTTCTGTTTCTGCTGTAACAAATTACAACTTGGCAGGTTAAACAACACAAATCTATCATTTTACAATTCTATAGTTACAGGTCTGAAATGGGTTTCCCTAATATCAAGGTGCCAGCAGGCTGCAGTCCTAGGGGAGAATCTGTTTCTTTCCTTTTCCAGCTTTTACAAGCTGTGCTCATTCTCTGGCTCTTGGCCTTCTTCCATCTCCAAAGCCAACAATGACAGAGTCCTCATAGCTTATCTTTTCTTCCTTCTTACATGAGTGCATGTCCCTCTGATCCTCTTTTCTGCCTCCTCCTTCTACCTTTAAGAACATTGATAACATTGGGCCCACCTGGCTAATTCAGGATAACTTCCCTCTGGGGGTGTATATGCACACACCAGTCCTGGGACTTGAGCTCAGGCCTGGGGTGCTGTCCTTGAGCTGTATTGTTCAAAGTTAGTGCTCTACCACTTGAGCTCAGATCTATTCTGGCTTTTTGGTGGTTAATTGAAAATAGTAGTCTCATGACTTTACTTCCTGGACTAGCTTTGAACTGTGATCCTCAGATCTCAACCTCTTGAGTAGTTAGGATTATAGGTGTGACCCACTAGTGCTTGGCTAACCTGCCTATTTGGAAGTCATCTAACTAACAAACTTAACTCCATTTGCGACCATTTTGTTGTTTGAGACAGCTTCTTACTATGGAACCCAGGCTGGCCTTGACCACATGATCTTTTTGCCTCAGCCTCCCTAGTGCTGAGATTACAGGCATGAACCACCATACCTGTGATCCCATTTGCAACCTTAATTCCTTTTTTTCTTGTAACCTAGACTACTCATAGTTCCATGGATTAAGAAATAGGCATCTTTGGAAAGTTGTTATTCTGCCCACCGCATGAATAGTAACAAGACTTGTCTTGTTCACAAAAATGCTAATGATTTATTTTGAAGTGAGGAGACACTGTAAGTGACTAGAGGCTAGAGGCATCTTCAGGAGGAGAGGTATCCCATTGATACATTTTCTTTCTTTCTTTCTTTCTGTCTTTCTTTCTTTCTTCCTTCCTTTCTTCCTTCCTTCCTTCCTTCCTTCCTTCCTTTTATTTGTTGGTCATGGGGCTTGAACTCTGGCACTGTCCCTCAGCTCTTCAGCTCCAAGCTCTATCACTTGAGCCACAGCACCACTTCCAGTTTTCTGGTGGTTAATTGGACATAAGAGTCTCATGGACTTTCCTGCCTGGACTGGCTTTGAACTGTGATCCTCAGATCTCAGCCTCCTGAATAGCTAGGATTACAGGTGTGAGCTGCCAGTACCTGGCTCATTTAATTACTTTCTAGCCATCTTTTTCCTTCTCTAACAGTGCAGTGAGAGAGGAGTCCTAGTCTAAGATCAGCTCTGCCCCTGAGCCTTAGATCCATTCTCTGTCATCATTTTTGGGACCTTAGAAGGTTCCCTTTCAAGCCAGGTGCTGGTGGCTCATGCCTATAATCCTAGTTACTCAGGAGGCTGAGATCTGAGAATTGCTGTTCGAAGCAGGAAAGTCCATGAGACTTATCTTCAGTTAACCACCAAAAAGCTTGAGTAAAAATCTAAGGAACAGCATCCAGGTCTTGAGTTCAAGTCCCAGTTCCAGCACAAAAATTCTCTCATTATTTAAATTTAAAACTATTTTTTAAAATAAATAAATGAATAAGTAAAAGGTTCCCTATCTTCAACCTCCTCATTCCACTTCCAGCAATATTTTACACATGCTTAATTCGCTCCCATCTTAAACAAATGAGGTCCCCATTCCTGGGCCCTGTTCTTCTCAACAGGATGGCCCACATGAGATTCACTGTGACTCTGGCTAGCCACTCCCCTGGCTATAACCCTCTAATAACTTCCTGTTAACTTCCAGTTAACTCTTTCTCCTTCACATACTGTACATGGCACCTTCTTATCTTTCCCATCTTACATCTCTCAGTTCTTTCTCCCCCTCTTTTTCTCTCCCTGTCTACCCCTCTACCCCTTTTTTCTTCTTTCTTCTCTCCCCTGCCTTTCTCCATTCTACAGCTACTGGCAACACTTATCAGGTCATGTTTCCTCTTACTGTTAGGCCTTTCTGTAATCTGTTCCCTATTTCAGGAACCCTTCTTTTAGGAAGTGTTTTAAACTGCATTAGGAGTTCTCCTATGTACTCCTGCACTAGCCAGGACCATCACCTCTTCCATGATGTTGACCACACCACACTAAGGTTTCCTGGGAATGCCTTGGGGACAAGACTCTGATAGCCCCAGGGTATCACTGATTGCTGGCATGTAGTGAATGACTTATAGAAAGAAGACAAGACATTTCAAACAGAAGGCATGGCTAGCATATAGCTTCAAGACATTGTGTCACTTTATTGATAAACAACAAGAGATATTGAAAGATTTCTAGGGGTGGGGGAAGCTCAGAGATACAGGTAGTTTGGACATAGAAGTTCCAACTGTATTTCAAGGGGACTCACCATAGGAGAAAGTGTCTGGCATGGGGACCCCATGTCCAGCCAGCTCTTGAAATGTCCAGAACTTATTGATGCAGTTTAAGATGCTCTGAGAGCGGTTGACCAAGCGGCAGCCCAGCTTTTCTAGGTGTCTCAGGACGGTGATGTCGCTGTCTGACTGTATAGAGGGGGTGGACACTCGCACAACCACCACATCTGGAAAGGTGGTGAGGGCCTTCTGGTTCAGCTGCAGGCCTGCAATCAAGGACTAAAGTGAGCTCCGCACTTGCCAGTGTTCAGTCCAGCTGAAGACCTGCTTCCACGGGTCCTCAGTCTGCATCTGGCAGGGACAGAGTCTCAAGAGCAACCATCTGAACATCCCAGGGTGTCACCAAAGAGTTCTACAGTCAGCCTATTCTCCAAACAAATAGCAGAGCATGGTTATGAGGAAGCACAAAAAGATGGAAGAAAGAAAAATGAAAGCTGCATACCGAGAACAATACAAGTTAAAAGAATCCACAGGAGGGAGGCAACCTGCTCCCCTCTCCCATACAGAACCAAACATAAAGTCTGAAGACTCTATGGAAAGGCAACAGTGTCACTTACTTTGAGAATCTCTGCCACTTTTTTAGGATTTAACATCTAGAGAAAGAGTGTGATGACTGGATGGAGGATTATACAACCATGTAAATGATTTTATTTTATTCTTCTTTTTTTTTCTTTTTCTGTCAGCTGTGGGACTTGAACTCAGGGCCTTGGCACTATTCTTGAGGTTTTTCTGCTCAAGACTAGTGCTCTACCACTTTGAGCCATAGCACCACCTCTGGTTTTCTGGTGGTTCATTGGAGATAAGAGTCTCAGGGACTTTCCTGCCTGGGCTGGATTCGAACTGCATTTCTCAGATCTCAGCTTCCTGTGTAGCTAGGATTACAGGCATGAGCCACCAGGGCCTAGTGATGATTTTATTTTAAGGTGGGGTCTCATGATGAAGCCCAGGCTGGCCTCCAACTTGATGTCCCTCTTGCCTCAGTGTTCCAAGTACTCAGATTATAAGCATGCACCACTACACCAGCTAAAGGATGTTAGGAATATATTCTTCTATATCTAATGTACAAATGTCAATATTAAGTGGAAAAATAGGATTCCAAATGACAAATAAGGCATTATGATCTCAACTATATAGACAGATGCAAGTTGGAAAAGGCTAGAAAAAATATATTTTAATAGTGGGTAATGAGATTTCAGTAATTGCTTCTTTATATTTTATATTCATTTGTATTTTCCAGAATTTTTCCAAGTTCATATTCCCTTTAGAACAAAAACAAACTTTAAAAAAATCCAATCTACTAAAAATCAATTCAGTAGTCAACAAACTCAATATTCAAAATTAAATAAGATTAATTGAAGGCTAAATAAGATTAATTGAACAGCAAAAAGAAGCTGTTTTACCCTGGATTCAGTGGAGGTATTAGGATAATGTAAAGACTCAGATGAAGCTGAGTCCAGTCTTCAAGTTACTGAAGGACTTCTGTGTAGAAGAATTATTTGGCTTGTCTTCAACGACTCCAAGAGGTAGGGCTAGCCGCAAGAGCATTATTTTGTCTGTGTGTTCTCTGCTGAATCCAGCCTTTGGAACAATGCCTGGTGCATGGAAGACACTCAGTGTTTGTTGAGTTGAACAGAAGCTGTAGGGATATAGGCGTGGGCTCAATAAAAGGGACATTCTTCCACTGCCTAAGAATGGAATGGCCAAGGCTTACTGGTCACTCAACAATGGTACAGCAGGAAGCAATGACTGGAGACGCCCATGCAGCCTGCTTGGGGTCACGCAGGCCTCACATCCTCTGGGGTGCCTAATCCTAAAGTAATCACCTGGGGATGGAAAGATGGAGAGAGGACGTGGGTTACAAGAAATTCTTTGGTTTCTCTTCATGAACCTTAAGGGAGTTTCCAAAATGTTTTGAAGTCTTTTTTTTCCTCCTCTCTCTCTTCAATTCTGGAGTTTAAAATTAGGACCTACTAGGCAAGGATCCTACCATTCTGCTAACTTGTAAAACAACGGACAAAATTCTATTATAGGCTTTGTGTCATCTATTTCATGAAGGGTATTTTGCACACTCAGGTTAATGAAGTTAATAATTTCTCCATCAGAGATGAATAATATCAACACCAAAGCTCTCAGTTGAGCAAAAAGAGAAAAACTTTATGCATACAAATAAAAACAAAGAACAAAACACTCATAAAACAACAAATTAGTATCCGAGGTACAGAGATGGGGGTATTAAGATATATTTTACATAGTCACTTGCTGATAGTGTAAACTATGGGAAGGAAGTGCAACCGAATTCTTAGGCATGATTTATAAAGAATATTCAGACCATCTTCACTTTGCCATCAGACAGTATCATTTATGCTTGCTTTTGTTGGTCTTTAAAAACTCTTGTACTGTTTACAAGCCTTTGGGGGAAATTATAAAAGTGGTGAGGTGTGGGGGAAGTTGATTCTATGTAGTCTCCTCAAAATTGGTAGAAAAAAAAGAAAAGTAGCCAGGTTGATGCACATGATGAATCAATACAGAATATCCAGGACAGTATCACACAGTGAATAATATATGCAGAGATGCTTTGAAAACCATAAACCACTATACATATGCAAGGCACTGCCATTATTATTACATACATTCTACTAAGCAAGGTAGGACAATTTTATGGAGTTGTTTTTTTTTAAACCACCTAATGAGTAAAAACAGCTTTGCAACGGAAAAGTGACCTTGAGAAGCAAGAAGCGGCAAAAAACATCTAGCTTTCAAATCCCAACACGAGGTCACAGACAAACAGACTTCTACAGGGGAGGAAAAAAAGTTCAATCCACTTCTAGAATACCAACCACAAGTGCACAGAGACAGCTCAGCCTCAACAAGCAAGTTCACGTACACCTAGGAAGTCTTACCAGGACTTTGTCTCTCTTCTCCAAAGGTATATCTTTGGGCCTGGCTCATTCCAACTGAAGCCTTTAATAAATGAAGAATGGAATGGGTTAAAGTGGAGCCCAAAAGGCTCTACCATGCATTAAGACATGTCTGATGTCTGACTCTGTGCTCTTGGCTAGTCCTATGCAGAGGAACCTGACAGGTATAGGGTTCATCTGCAAAGCTAATTACACCAACCTTCAAGGTGCCTTCGGTGAGAGCAGTAGCTACACATGGTGGATTAAAGATTGATCCTTAGAGAGGCCTATCTCTGGATTTTGAGATATTAAACAGCTTAAGTAACCTCTGCCCTCTCTCCACAGTAGCAACTCCTTTCAGGGAAGGGCCGATTAGTTCAAGATGGAGCTTATTTAACACATCACTTTTCCCAGAATTCTTTACAACCCCACTGTGACCTGCAGTCTTCAAGCCAAGAAAATGAAGAGCTGGCTACAGGACATGAGGATAGGGCTCTGTTTGACTGCAGTGAATCAAAGGAGAACTCCAGCAATGAGTAGTTCTTGCCTTCAACCATCAAGACTCTTCACTTTAACCTGGGGAAGTGAAAGAAGCTGAGCTGCTTCTGGGATATTTGCTTCTTGAGGATTTGACCATAAATGTCATGGCATTTACATAAAACTGATACTTGATGGGTCACCACCAAACTCCTGGATTGGATCTGAGATTTATTATGTTTAGCCTCAAACTATTTTGTTTTTGAAAACAGACAAGTGAAAACCTGGAAATGATCACTCTATACCCAAAAAGGTCAGATAGTAGGGGGGAAAAAAAGATCAGACCTCAAATGAGTCAATAAAATGGCCAATCTAGTCTAAACTCTTTAAAAAGAAAAGAAAATAAAAATCAATATTTTTTGCATATTACTTCTAACAAGAACAATCTACTTTTATGAGTAATTTTGTTCTGATTTCTTTCTGAATGCACTACTTGATTATGGATTTCTCTTTTATTTGGAAACAAGATAGAAATATGCCTAGGCCTGGTGGCACATATCCAGCACGCAGGAGACAGAGGTAAGTGAATTGCAAGTTTGGCACCAACCTGGGCTACAGAGTAAGATTCTGTCTCAAAATAGTGGGAGAGGGGGTGATTTTTTTTTCCCTAAAGAGTTGGGTCTGTTTGCTTTTTATTTATGTTTAGTTTTAGTATTTTGTCAGTGAGGCTTGAACTCAGGGCCTGGGCACTGTCCCCAATCCTCTTTGTGCTCAAGGATAATGCTCTACCACTTGTACCATAGCACCACTTTGTCTTTGAGTGGCTAACTGGAGGGGAGTCTCATGGGGACTTTTCTGCCTGGGCTGCCTTTGAACTGTGATCCTCAGATCTCAGCCTCCTGAGTAGCTAAGATTACAAGCATGTCTGGCTACTTTTTTTTTTTTATGTGGTCCTGAGGAATTGAACCCAGGGCCTCGTGCATGCTAGGCAAGCACTCTACCACTAACCCACCTTCTCAGCCCCTACTTTTTGTTTTTTATACCTCATATATTAGGATAAATTAAGTTATGTAAAATCAGACTTCGCATTTGTAGCTATAATAGCAGAGAAATGCACTTTATAGCAAAGAGAAATAGCTTTAGTGAATAGCTTTAGTCATTTTTAGAAAACAGAGCTCTAAAACTTAAAAAAAAACAAACCTCAATCATTTGATAGTAGGAAATAGCGCATGGTAATAAAAGGTGCTGTGATTCAGATTTCATCCTGGCCAGGATTTTTCTTGAGCATCTGTTATATTTTAGGTACTTTGATAAGAACTTACACATCTTTTCTCATTTAGAGGCCTCTTCTAATACAGATCATTAGGATAGGTTTGACTGTAAATGCGTTGGTATTTATATAAAACTGATGCATGATGAACTATTGCCCTCCCAAACCTGTGCACACATCACTCATTTGCAGACATACAAACATCCTTCGCTTTACAGAAGAAAGCATCAACACTATACTGGTTTCCCATACACTAGGAGAAAAAAAGCCTTCATGTACACAGTAAGTACAATGTAAGGAAGCGGCAGGAGAGTGCAAATGCAGCATGGGAATAAACAAGGATCTATCTCACTACCTCACAGGACTCTTACATTTTTAGCAGAATCATGGCCATTGTGGATTCTCCCAGAGATGATCAAAAATGGATCCCTTCAACTTTTCACTGTGCCCCACTCCCTTTTTAATCTTATCTAGTGTAAAAGCCCAGATCCTTCAGTGACCCACAAAGCCCTACAAATGTGCTCACCTCTCCACCCTCCTCTCTGACTTCTCCCCTACTTTC